TTGTACTTCGGTGAGGCGGCGTCGCCCATCATCCTCCTTTGCCATCTTGACTCTCCCCGCGGCGGTGGTCTCGTACTNGCAGTGAGACATCGCACATTCAAGCCTGCTCGTCTGCTGTAAAGTACTGCTGTGAAGTAATGCTGTACAGCAGTACAATGTGTTCCTGCTGGATATGTGTGTGACATGCACTGGTGAGTCAAACATGTACCGAACGGCACACGCTCGCAACCAAAATACGTAAGACGAAAACACACACCACACATGAGCATACTGCTGTTGTAAACAGCAGCAAAAACAGGGTGTACCGCACATATTTCGGAGTGTAGATTCAAACACAGACAACCGTTACCCCTCTTTGATAAGATGAAAATAAAAACAAGGTATCGGCCTGCTGCTGTGCCGCACCATCCAACCTTCACTGCTGTGTACTGACCTGCAACACCACCTCGTTCTCAGAGCGACCTTCCTTGCGGAGGTCGAAGAGTAGCATAAGNATATTTCGGAGTGTAGATTCAAACACAGACAACCGTTACCCCTCTTTGATAAGATGAAAATAAAAACNTAGTCCAGGTCCTGGCCACCTTCTCCGCCGCCGCAACAGCTGCCGCTTCGATGCGCTTAACCTCTTCCTGCTCACGCTTTTCCCGCTGGGCAGCGGCGCGCGCCGCTGCCTCCTCCTTCTTGGCGAACGCCGTCTCCTTCTCTCTAAGCGCTTGCTCCTTCGCTCTGAGCGCTTGCTCTTTCTGCGCCATCTCCGACGCGAGCGCTGCACGCTCCTGCTCAAGCTTAGCGCTGCGTCTGTCCAGGGCCAACGCATCTCTCGCCGCTGCCGTCTTGGCTCTCTTTCTCGCCTTCGTCTCGCGTCCACCGACACCACCGGTGGGCTTGTTCCTGCCCTTCGGTTTTGTCATCGGCCGAAAGCTTGGAGGCCCCTCTTCCGGCGTGCGGTACTCGACAACAGCTGGGTTGTTTCAAAAGCTGGTCTTATCGTCCAGCGCGCCAAATCATGGGGTTTCCAAAAAGTTGTGTAGACTATACCTGCGTTGCTATTTCTTCGTCATTTTTTTTTGTTTGCCTCCCGACATGAAAACTAAGTCAAAAAGTACCCTGTACATCGCCGGCCGCTGCTGTACCGTGTCGTCATCCGATGAGAGCAAGACCAGGCTCATTTGAAAGCTGTGGTTGCCGTCTTTCATTTGATATGTGGTAGGTCTACTGCCCTAGCTTTACTGTGTATATAAAGGCTTTGGACCATAATGTTCGATTCCTGCGATTGAAAAATAACTGCGGACACGCCCTGTTCAGAATTCTTTTTTCGCCGGAAAAAAGCAAAAATTTGCTCGTAATAGTTTTTCGGCCCGCCTCCTCGTCGTCCGCCTCATCGCCTGCTGGTAATGGACATGACAGACCCATTTCGACAGTACCTTTGTGGTGTGGGCGACAGGAAGGTAAGACGTCGAGCGGTCCATCCCTGCTCACCTCGTCGTCTAGGGTTACACAAGGAACAAGAACCTCGTCTTCTACTATTCGTANGTTTTCTACCTGTAGAGGTGGCATCAATGTGTGACAGAACTTGATACGAATGCGTCTTCCTCTGCTGCCCACCAAGTGCTGCCTGCACCACTGCCATCGGGATCGGATGGTAGTGCCCATCATTCTGTGGAAGGTTCGGCTCCTTTGTCAAGGGGGAGTAGTCAAAAGCGCCCTGCGTCAATGATCAAACATCCGTCTGTTGCAGGAATGACTTCTCTTAACGAACGGGTCTCTAGTAGCCGAATGGCCGTTGCTAGCATTGACCCCGCCGGAGCCGCCGCCCTAAGGCCTCCCTCCGGATCACGGCGCGTTGTGACTTCGCCCGCTCCTGCCTCGCTTTCTGGGTCCTCCCCGTCGGAGAAGAGGACCCGTCCGCCTGGTCCACCCCCGCCTGTGCCTGGTGCCCTCCGTTTGCCCCTTCGCCCTGCACCGACTCCGCCGTTTGATGACACAAGTGCGAGTACGCTTCGGATGACGTCCTTCTTTTCTGGAAACCTCCGTCTGTGTTCTCGCAATGGACTCCTTCGGCTTTTGACGTACTGGGGGTACGTTATTCATGTGGTGGTCAATTCATGATGTCTGAAAAAGCGAAGTTGTTTGGAGATATGACGTCGTATGACAAAATTATGGCTGCAACAGATCCTACGACACACAAGTTTTTGGGTCGAAATGTGCGTCCTTTCGACTATGCTGAATGGAAGCGTCGTCGTGAAGAGATCGTGCTTACGGGGTCATACGCCAAATTTGCTCAAAACCATGACATGATNTTCATGATGTCTGAAAAAGCGAAGTTGTTTGGAGATTTGACGTCGTATGAAAAAATTATGGCTGCAACAGATCCTACGACACACAAGTTTTCGGGTCGAAATGTGCGTCCTTTCGACTATGCTGAATGGAAGCGTCGTCGTGAAGAGATCGTGCTTACGGGGTCATACGCCAAATTTGCTCAAAACCATGACATGATACATCATCTACTGGAGACGGGTACCCGCCTCCTTGCAGAAGCCAGCCCCTTCGATCGTGTTTGGGGTATCGGCATGTCTGCATGCTTTCCAGATGCTAGCGATTCATCCAAGTGAGCGGCTAGCGGTAAAAACTTGTTGGGAAAAACTTGAATGGAAGTTCGACGCCATTTGCGTGATTATCCCCGCTTCCAATTCTCCCACGCCCCCCATCTCGCAGCCTCCTCTCCATGGACATCGACGCATTCATGAGGTTGCTACTGCTACAGGTTCTTCGCTACGGAAGGACCCGGGCGAAGACCCAGCTTGTCTACGTTTGGACGCTCCGGGGGACCATGCTCCTGACGTTCATCTGGTGGCATCGACCTCCGCTTCTGCAGACCAGCCCCCTCTTCTCGAACATGGGCCCGATCTGGTCGGCGGTACGCTCCTGTTGGACTCGGACTCATACACCACCCGGGTCCTGCT